CTTGAATTAGCCTGAAATTATGGCATAATTAGGTTTGTGATTGAAGTTTTTTTGGTTTGCTATAGGTTCGTCATGTTCATGTTGGATTTGGGAATTTTTTGCAGAAAATGATTTTTCAAAAAAATCGATAATAGGTTCAACGAAGAGCCTAAAATTAGCCTTAAATTATGGTGCACTCAATATTCTCATATTCCTTCTATTTGAGATTTGGTTCTGCTAGCTTAACGGTTAAGCTAGCAAAACCCATGATTTTTTTAAAAAACAATGTGCGAAAAAATTGGCAATAGGCTAGGATCAGAGCCTTAAATTAGTCTGAAATTATGGCATAATCAGGTTTGTGATTGAAGTTTTTTTTTGGTTTGCTACTGGTTTGTCATGTTCATGTTGGATTTGGGAAATTTTTTGCAGAAAATGATTTTAAAAACGATAATAGGTTCAACGAAGAGCCTAAAATTAGCCTAAAATTATGGTGCACTCAATATTCTTATATTCCATCTATTTGAGATTTGGTTCTGCTAGCTTAACGGTTAAGCTAGCAAAACCCATGATTGTTTTAATAAACAATGTGCGAAAAAATTGGCAATAGGCTAGGATCAGAGCCTAAAATTAGATCTAAATTATGGCATGATTAGTTTTGTGATTGAAGTTTTTTTGGTTTGCTATTGGTTTGTCATGTTCATGTTGGATTTGGAAATTTTTTGCAGAAAATGATTTTTCAAAAAATCGATAATAGGTTCAACGAAGAGCCTAAAATTAGCCTTAAATTATGGTGCACTCAATATTCTCATATTCCTTCTATTTGAGATTTGGTTCTGCTAGCTTAACGGTTAAGCTAGCAAAACCCATGATTGTTTTAAAAAACAATGTGCGGAAAAATTGGCAATAGGCTAGGATCAGAGCCTAAAATTAGCCCTAAATTATGGCATGATTAGTTTTGTGATTGAAGTCATTTTGGTTTGCTATTGGTTTGTCATGTTCATGTTGGATTTGGGAATTTTTTGCAGAAAATGATTTTTCAAAAAATCGATAATAGGTTCAACGAAGAGCCTGAGATTAGCCTTAAATTATGGTGCACTCAATATTCTCATATTCCTTCTATTTGAGATTTGGTTCTGCTAGCTTAACGGTTAAGCTAGCAAAACCCATGATTGTTTTAAAAAACAATGTGCGAAAAAATTGGCAATAGGCTAGGATCAGAGCCTAAAATTAGCCCTAAATTATGGCATGATTAGTTTTGTGATTGAACTTTGTTTGGTTTGCTATTGGTTTGTCATGTTTACATGTTAGCTTAATGGTTAAGCTAGCGAAACCCATGCTTTTTTTTTTAATCAGTGTGCGAAAAAATTGGCAATAGGCTAGGATCAGAGCCTTAAATTAGTCTGGAATTATGGCATAATCAGGTTTGTGATTGAAGTTTTTTTTTTGGTTTGCTACTGGTTTGTCATGTTCATGTTGGATTTTGGAATTTTTTGCAGAAAATGATTTTCAAAAAAATCGATAATAGGTTCAACTGAGAGCCTAAAATTAGCCTTAAATTATGGTGCACTCAATATTCTTATATTCCTTCTATTTGGGATTTGGTTCTGCTAGCTTAACGGTTAAGCTAGCAAAACCCATGATTTTTTTTAAAAAACAATGTGCGAAAAAATTGGCAATAGGCTAGGATCAGAGCCTAAAATTAGCCCTAAATTATGGCATGATTAGTTTTGTGATTGAACTTTGTTTGGTTTGCTATTGGTTTGTCATGTTCACATGTTAGCTTAATGGTTAAGCTAGCGAAACCCATGATTTTTTTTTAGTCAGTGTGCGAAAAAATTGGCAATAGGCTAGGATCAGAGCCTTAAATTAGTCTGAAATTATGGCATAATCAGGTTTGTGATTGAAGTTTTTTTTTGGTTTGCTACTGGTTTGTCATGTTCATGTTGGATTTGGGAAATTTTTTGCAGAAAATGATTTTCAAAAAAATCGATAATAGGTTCAACGAAGAGCCTAAAATTAGCCTTAAATTATGGTGTACTCAATATTTTTATATTCCTTCTATTTGAGATTTGGTTCTGCTAGCTTAACGGTTAAGCTAGCAAAACCCATGATTTTTTTAAAAAAACAATGTGCGAAAAAATTGGCAATAGGCTAGGATTGGAGCCTAAAATTAGCCTTAAATTATGGCATAATTAGTTTTGTGATTGAACTTTTATTTACGAAGTGGTTCTGCTAGCTTAACGTTAAGCTAGCAGAACCCACGTTTTTTTACATCAATCGAAGAGCAATAAATTCGGCAATAGGGTAATAAATTAGCCTTAAATTAGCCTGAAATTATGGCCGAAGAAAAAATTGAAAAATTCGAAGTGGTTCTGCTAGCTTAATGGAGGTTTCATTTTTTACAGTATAATTAATTGAATTGCCACCATTGGAAAATCTCGTACCATCCCCGCATAGGGGAAGTTCACAGTTTTCACTTGATGTTTTTCAAGAATCCTTGCTAGCTAATACATGATTCGAATTTTTGTTCCAAATTGCAAAGATCCTAGATAAATATCCTTTACTCAATTGACAACAGTAGAATAATTTCAATCCATCCCCTTAGAAATGGAAGTTTGTTCCTGCTCTTTTTGAAAAATCCTTGATGACTGTGCAATTCCACTCTGATTCGAATGTTTGCGTCAAATTAAATATTCTCACAACTCACATAGATCTCAATGCTGGCAATAGATTATATCTGACCTAACTGCTGACAACTGAATATTTGTTTTGGATGTTTGAATATAAAATTTGAAGCGAAAACCAGCGAGGATAAACTACCCCTCTGAGAGGCTGGATTGAAATAATTTCATTGGTGGCAACCACGCGCATGGTTGCCACCAAGCAAAAAAGCGCCTAATGACAAAACACATAAATTTCAAGTTTTCTTCCACAAAAAAATTGCCTGAGTGTAATTCGACGATTTGACCTCTCAAGGTCCACATTTAGAAAGAAATGATCAAAAAAATTTGTTTGTGGAAAAACTAGATTAGAATGATTGTTAAAACAACCTATTGAATTAAAATTGTTTGTATGTTTCTTACAACAAAAAAACTCATTGTTCCTAGGGTCCACAAAGTTCCTCTTTATTTCCCTCCACCCTTTCCTACACATTGATTCTGATACTAATTTGTGTTTTTATTTATCCCTTGGAGCGTCCGAAAGGGAATCCCTGCTATTATGTTCGAAAAACATCGTGCGTACCTTAAAACCGTTTTTGACTCAAACAGATATTTCATCAAAGGTGCATTGTACGCGGAACGTCCATTGTTTTACATTAGGAGCGATGAAAAATTCTAACCATTGACCTTTCCGCTTTGGAACATTGGGGAATTTTTGGTATACAAAGTACAAATAAATATTCATTTAGGAAATTTAGCTGGTGAGTCCAGTGTACCGACACGGGGATTCCTCTCAGGAAGACAGGGTATTCTTTGGGAGGTCAGGGAATTCTTTGGGAGGTCCAGGAATTATTTGGGAAGTCTGGGATTTCTTTGGGAAATTGGGAATTATTTGGGAAGTCTGGGAATTCTTTGGGAAGTCCGGGAATTCTTTGGGATTTCAGGGAATTCCTTGAGAAGTCCGAAAATTCCTTGGGTAGTCCAGGTAGTCTTTGGGAATTCCAGGTATACTTTAAGAAGTCCGGGAATTCTTTGGGTAGTCATTCGGCAAGGGAAGTCTAGTGTACACGAAATCGGCCCGTGATTTACCCCTCGCTTAGAATAGTGGTCTATTGGAGAAAAGAAAAAACTGGGAGATTTCAAATTCCAAAAAAATTTATTGGCATTTCTTTTCAGCGTTCTTAATCAAGAACATGAGCCATTAAGAAGTTAATGAATACCTAAATCACATTTTGTTGATTGTTTTTCAATTGCCCCAATCGCGACATTTCCACAGATTAAATACTTTTCTAATTCTGACAAAGCTAGTTTGAGGAAAAATGACATAAACACCATCAAATATTTTGTTTACAATTTTGGTTGTCATGCTTTAAAATGTTAAGTTTCCGTTTTGTCGCTGGAAACTTTTTTCGATATCATAATGACAAAATCACAGTGGCCTGCGAAATTTTACATACATTAGTTGTCAAAATGAAAAACGAACTTAATGCTGCAGTTTTGTCATATTTCAGTTTTTAGAAAAAAAAAAAAAAGAATAGAGTAAGCGCCTGGTGGCAACTGAAAATCAATATGGCATGACTCGTGTAAATTTATATATTTACCACGAGCGCAGCTATAAACAAATGTTGTATCCGAAGTTGTTTCTTGGGAACAATAAAGCTGATTGATTGATAGATTGATATATTGATAGATTGATAGATTGATAGATTGATAGATTGATAGATTGATAGATTGATAGATTGATAGATTGATAGATTGATAGATTGATAGATTGATAGATTGATAGATTGATAGATTGATAGATTGATAGATTGATAGATTGATAGATTGATAGATTGATAGATTGATAGATTGATAGATTGATAGATTGATAGATTGATAGATTGATAGATTGATAGATTGATAGATTGATAGATTGATAGATTGATAGATTGATAGATTGATAGATTGATAGATTGATAGATTGATAGAGTGATAGATTGATAGATTGATAGATTGATAGATTGATAGATTGATAGATTGATAGATTGATAGATTGATAGATTGATAGATTGATAGATTGATAGATTGATAGATTGATAGATTGATAGATTGATAGATTGATAGATTGATAGATTGATAGATTGATAGATTGATAGATTGATAGATTGATAGATTGATAGATTGATAGATTGATAGATTGATAGATTGATAGATTGATAGATTGATAGATTGATAGATTGATAGATTGATAGATTGATAGATTGATAGATTGATAGATCGATAGATCGACTGACTGACTGACTGACTGACTGACTGACTGACTGACTGACTGACTGACTGACTGATTGATTGATTGATTGATTGATTTGCATTTTCCAGAGATTATGGCCGCAGGGGCGGCGGCGGCGGCAGCAGGAAGCCCCTGCCCACCGAGCCCCCGTTCACTGCCTACATAGGCAACCTGCCTGACGGCGTCATACAGGGTGACGTCAACAGCATCTTCGCCAACTTGGACGTGAAGAGCGTGAGGCTGGTCAAAGACAAGGAGACGGACAAGTTCAAGGGGTTCGGGTATGTGGAATTCGAGACAATTGACATTTCACAATGGAAATTTCACACCAAACATTTTCGATCAATTTAAGGCATATATTTCGTATCGTTACCATAGCAACTAAACAAATTTCTTGGAAATTTTCTCCTCCTTGGTGGACGGAGCATGAAATTACACTGGAAATTTTTTGACGTTTTTAAGTTAAATGCCATTTACATTCAACTTCAGATTATTTCGAGTTCATTCTATAAGTCAATAAATAAAAATCATTTATCAACAGTTTACCATATAATATAATGTAGATTCACTTGCAAATTCGAAATTTACAAAAACCATCATTTTCATACAAACACTATGATATTATACCAACTCTTCAGTTTTGACATGAAGAATGACATACGTAATCAAAAAATATATTATTCTTTTGAGTCAACATACAAAGCCTACTATTCAAATGTCAAAACCATCAAAAATCGTCATAATCCAAGTAATTTTTAAATAATATTTCAGTGTGAAATTTTCTTACCAAATACCACTTCTGCTTCAATTAATATCCGGGGACATTTTTCTCGAACGCGAATATTTGGAATATTCGTGTTCTCGAAAAAATTTCCGGAAATAATTGAAATTAAACAGAAATTTTTACTGTCTGCTCAAAAGGCTTATGAGCACTGTCATTACCTGGGTGTATTGTTTTCCAAAGAAGACGATGAAAAAAAATGCATCACGGCCATCCATGGCACACTTGACAAATGTGGATAAATGAATATCCCGATTATCCAGTATTTTCTTCAGTAATATTTAATTTATGTTCTTATTTTCCATTCAATGGCAAATAAATTAGTATCATTAGATTCGTCATAGAATCCTTTTTGCAGAAAGTGCTTGTCAAAAAATGGTTGCCATTTGAAACATGATAGACACTGAAATTGAATTTTGTCAACTTGTCTTCTTCCTGTATATCATACTAGTCACTAAAACTTTGTGATTATGTTGTTCTTACATCACCTGCGGTCCTTAGATAAGTTTAATTTTGACTATGGCCACCTAGATGCAATATATCGAAGACTGGAACCTTTGGCACGATAATACACTACACACTGTTTTACCACTAACCAAACCGATTTTTTAACGCCTCGACACGTGTTTCGCTAACTATGTTAGCATCTTCAGGAGAAGATTAAAACTAAATATCCTATTCTAGTGTGCTGCTTATATACTAGGTAAATGTTCACCCAACTGTGAAAAATACTAACCGTCAAGTTAATGTTTGTCATGGTTAAGTTCACATGTTAATCTTAATTTTTATTTCACTAAACTATATAGAGGGCTATATGGAATAGGTCCATTATCCTTATTCATTACTCTATTACTATTCTTAAATATCTCCAAGCTTTCATATGCGTCTAGTTTTCTAATGTTATTAACTTGCTTAACTAATTTGAGGTTAGTAATATGTGTGTTATGATTGTGATTGAACATATGTTCGGCTACACAAGATTTATCTAACCTGCCATATTTTAAATGGGCTATGTGTTCTTTGAACCTTGTTTTTATGGGTCGCCTGGTTTGGCCTATATATGTTTTATCACAATCATTACAACTTATTTCGTATATTCCCGACTTTTCAAGTGTGTCCACTTTATCTTTCGGATTGCCTAATAAATTGCCTAATTTTGACCCAGACTGATAAACGCTTTCAAAACCTAAGTCTTTGAAAACCTTATCGAGTCCCTTCATATACTTGGGATTGAACGGGATTGGGATTCTTCTAGAGTTCTTTTTATCCACTTGAAAAGTCTCGACCCGACCTGGATGCAATATTAAAAGTGACTCTAAAAAATTAAGTATTCGTAAAAACTTCTGAATATGTCATGTTCTGATCCAGAACTATCTCAGGAATTCAAAAATGTCATAATATACAGAGTGTTTCATTTAAGAATTCAAAACTGGAGCCATTTCCAGTGAAACCGGAAGTGACCGCGAAGTGAAAAACATTTGAAATTTTTCTTCTTCACAAACCTTATACCCATATTAATTTTCATTCTTATATACCGAATATTCTAGAAGTTATGGCTTGTCTAATAGATTCGTTGTAAAATTGAAAAACGAATGCATGTCATGTGTTAGCTTCAAAAACATATTCATACAAAATTTTATTACAAATTTTCGAATTTTACAGTAGTTTAGACATGAAGACATAATCATAAAAATATGTATAATTTTTTTCAATACCCTGCGCCCCCTTTTTTGAAGCACCATTTATAAATATTGTGATGTTGAAGCCCATGACCCCGCCCTTGTGCTTCCAATAGAAGTGAGACATACTATACAGGGTCCGGACGATTTTATAGGGACAGTATTGTTATTTCCTAAACGGTAAGAGATAGAAAGTTGATCAAATTAGTCAAAAGTTGCGTAATTTGGACCTCTCCAATTTGACGTTTTTCAATTTGGAAAAATGTTAACAGTTACTCATATCTTTTGAAGAAACTGAAAATCACTGATTTCGGTTTTATTCATTTTCATGGTTAATATTGAAAGAAAAAATTGTAAATTTTGTGTATGTAGCTAATTAATCATGACAAAGAAGGTGAGATTGTCAGACATATTATATCTTCATTATTTTTAGAGCTTTACCATGCAACTTTTGTTTTTCTTATGGGCGCCATATTTGTGCTCTATACCATTAAATAGAGCTAAGAATTCCCTTCACATATTAACATTTCCACATGAAACACCGCGAAAAAACAGTAAACACATTTTCAAATGTGGTAGGCCATGATGAAAAGAAAACAAAATACCAGTCTTCATGACTACAAGTACCTATCATTACTTCCATGAATAACATGCTACATTATTATGCGAAAATGGAAAAAATAGAAGAATACAAAGAAAGAAAAACAAAGAATACAAAGTTTTCAATCAATAATCAAGATACTATTACTTATAACTATTATTGGAGGATTTCATTTAGTGTAAGACTTGGTTTTGACATGAGTTTTAATTTGGTTATATTTTTATGATAGAATTATCTGTTTATCAATAATCATTGATTTGTTCTCAATATTTTATGGGTTTGTTAATAAATTTGCTTATCTTTAAACATTGAATTTGATATCAAAATTCATTCTAGATACGTGGAAATCATCAGATAAGCATATGATTTTTAAGGCGAGTCAATATTTGGTAAACGTTTCTGGTTTATTTGAAATAAAAATTGAATCCTTGGTTTTTCTGTGCCCTTTTCTCTGGCCTTTTCTCTTTTGCATGATAATGTAGCCGTTGTAGCATGTTGTACATGGCTAATAGATACTTGTAGTCATGAAGACTGATATTTTCTTTTCTTTTTATCATGTTTTTTCTGTTTTTTTGGCGCTGTTTCATGTGAAAATGTCAACTTGTTATACATGGCTGTGAAAGGAATTTTTAGCTATATTCAATGGTATAAAAAACAAATATGGCGCCCAAATGAAAAACAAAAGTTGCGTGGTGAAAATAATGGAGATGAAATATTTCTGACAATCTCATCTCTCTTGTAATTTTTAATTACCTACTGTACAGAAGCTCTTAATCTCAGGGTTGATTTTAAAGGGGGTTTGGCTAACTAATACTCAACGGGAAGATTCCACAAAATGGAAATAGCAATGCTGTCCCTATTAAATCGTCCGGACCCTGTATATATTTCATTATTTCTTGTAAATTTCTAAAAATTTCAATAAAATTCTTGAATTTAGGTAAATTCTAGAAATTCATGCAACCCAAATAAATTTCATATAAACTGGTCAACATTGATAACGTCGTGGTTCAGCCTGAATTCAAAGTCGAATAACTCACGAATGTCCTTATCAATTTGAAATCGGTTTTCACCGACTTATTTATTATTTATATTGTTATTTCAGATAACATTGCTACAGGATGATAATTGAATGGGTGTAAAATTGCATCGTGGTCTTCACCTTGCCGTTTGAACAGATTTTTTTTCTCACCTGTATCCTCTTGATTGATGCTTTCTCTCGAAACGTTTCCAGAATTTTCAAATTCAGAGCTTTGATAATCGTGTTATGAATATTCATTCAAATGATGCATTTTTTCGACGATTAATTGAATAAAATTGGAAGTTGGAATTCTTTTTCGAAGAATCAACCTTGTATAAATAGTCGTGGGATATGTGATCGTGTTCGAAAACAGAAAATTCTGAAGTAGTCTATACAAAGTGATACAAGAAATACTGAATGATGGAATGGAGAATAACGTAGTCTTCAGTAGATGAAACATAATTTTCTCTGTGTTACTAGTGAAATAATGGAGTGTTACTGGTTTTTTAATTTCTTGGATCCAGGGTCATATAATGAAGGTACGCATTTTAAATCAAAATGATGCATTTTCGTTAAGAAAAATTATAAAATTCGAAAAATTACGATTGTAGTTCCAGAAGTATGAAATTTATATTTATTCTTGACGATGGATATACAAGGTGCGATAAAAAATATGTCCAGATTGTCCCGGGATGAAGAAGAATATGTTCAAACGTGAGGAAAATCGCTTTTTAGACTTTAGATTCAAAATCCTACAAATACCAGTCCCTCAAATGTTTCAACAGTCTGCCAGAAGAATGGAGAGAATTAAATTTGGAAAAGTTCACAAATCATTGTAAACATTTTCTGAGAGAAAATGTGTTCTATGATATGGAAGAATTTTATAAACATTTCAATGTATGCTTTTAAGAATAATTTATGTATTATCAGTGATTGTATATATTGTTTGATTTTACTTTTTATTGATATGTGTATTGTATGTTGTATTGTATATTGTGCCTGACGAATGTATATAATTATTTTATCACACAGAATAAAACTACTACTACTACTACTACTACTACTATGTTCCCAAAAAGAAATATAGTGTCGGTCATTTTCGAAAATTATTTGACAGGTAACAAAGATAAAATTATGTTTCATCTACTGAAGACTACGTTATTCTCCATTCAATCATTCAGTATTTCTTGTATCACTTTGTATAGACTTCTTCAGAATTTTCTGTGTTCGAACACAATCACATATCCGACGACTATACATACAACGTTGATTCTTCGGAAAAGAATTCCAACTTCCAATTTCATTCAATTAATCGTCGAAAAATTGCATCATTTTGAATGAATATTCATAACACGATTATCAAAGCTCTGAATTTGAAAATTCCAAAAACGTTTCGAGAGAAAGCATCAATCAAGAGGATACAGGTGAGAAAAAAATGAAAAAATGATTTGTTCAAACGGTAAGGTGACGACCACGATGCAATTTTACACCCATTCAATTATCACCCTGTAGCAATGTTATCTGAAATTACAAAAGTTTCATATTGCCACAACAAACTGTCAAGAGATTCGGCTAATAATCGGTAAAGACTTATTCTACTTTGAATTCAGGCTATATTTTGGACTACGACGTTATCAATGTTGACCAGTTTATATCATGAAAATTTCAAGTGACATTTCATTTCACAACTAAATATGAAATTTTCCCAACCCTAGGTACGTGGAGTTTGGGACACTGGACGACCTCGAGGCCGCCATCGCGCTCAACGGGGAGGTGGAGGTCGAACACCACTTGATGAAGATTGACGTCGCTGATGGTGGGTAGCTTGATGGTATCTTTCCATTATCACAGACTCTTTCCCTCATCCTGACTATTTGTAGGAGTTTAATAATATTACACTAAAGGTGTGTTCGGAAAGTTACTCAGGGTTGTTAACTCGATCCAGAGAGATCAGGTGACAAAAAGTCGGATCACCTACTCGTGTTCAACGTTTACGAACGTGTCAGGTTAGGAACACAGAATTTAATCTTTTTTCTGTGGTTTTGTGAATTTGATAGACGAAAATGTCCACATTATATTCAAGTACTTATTTGATATGGTTATAAATATTTATATTTACCTGGTGATTGGCGAACTTGTCTCATAAGTTGTCGCACCGTACATATTACTTTCTTGGCTCATAAAACCACAAAATACTCACCTACCCAAATTTTCTCCTCTATGCATTATACTAAATCAAATTATGGAGATTGAAAAAAAATACCTATCACCGATCGAAATTTTCACCAACATGCAAACTATTTTATTATTTTATTGTTCATAGATGAAAAACCCAAAGTCATCTCCACAACTTTTAGTGAAATGATCAAAGATCATCAATGGTACATGTTTCGGGCTTATATAAGCCCATCATCAGCCGATAAAATAGTTCAATGTTCTAGTAAAAACCGGTATTGACTTAGGATATAATGCAATGATTGATTACTTACATGGAAGTGAAAAAAGTTGAAATTCAAATAACGTGGACAATAACAGAGCAAACAAAGGCAACTGCTCCATGATCTGGAATACAAACCGTTAAATAGATGTGTAAAGGACGTTCAGAATCGGAAAACTTACTGTTAATCTAAAATTGTGTTTTTATAAAAAAGTATAAAAATTTTAAAATTCTTACGAAATGGTCATTGGAGGGTCGGGTTCATGTTTTATAAGGGCCCACGTACCCTTAAATCACCGAAAAGTGGCGATTACCCAAGAAAATATCAAACTAATGAAAAGTATGATGTGGCTTCGGAAATAACCAGCTAAATAGGAGGAATTACGTGTGCAGTGACACTGACACCACAAAATTTCAACTGTCAAATGTCAAGTCACCCAGATCATGGAACACAAAAATAGATACATGGAGATAATAGATATTGATGGATGATACAACACCAGAGAACAACACTACGTCAGATTGGCAACAAAATTAAGAATCAAGATTGGTTCATATTAGAAGGCTTGAAACCGCCGACCTACCCTACAACAAAGAGCAAGATAAGAGGGAAACATAAAAATTCAGTGAATTGAAAAATTTTAGGCAATCAAAGTGAGTTTGTTCATTCAGAGAAGTTACATGGTTATTCTTTAAAGACAAATTTATTTCATAAATTTCTAAAAGATTTAATAAACGGCCTTTTGGGCAAACATGTAGGATTTCTAAGCTATTGTCAATGTTAAAACTGTGTTGGGAGTTGAGAACATGGTCAGCAAAGGAACCTAGCTGGTTATTTCCGAAGCCACATCATACTTTTCATTAGTTTTATATTTTCTTGGGTAATCGCCACTTTTCGGTGATTTAAGCGTACGTGGGCCCTTATAAAATATGAACCCGACCCTCGAATGACCATTTCATAAGAATTTTAAAATTTTTATACTTTTTTATAAAAACACAATTTTACATTAACAGTAAGTTTTCCGATTCTGAACGTCCTTTACACATCTATTTAACGGTTTGTATTCCAGATCATGGAGCAGTTGCCTTTGTTTGCTCTGTTATTGTCCACGTTATTTGAATTTCAACTTTTTTCACTTCCATGTGAGTAATCAATCATTGCATTATATCCTAAGTCAATACCGGTTTTTTCTAGAACTTTGAACTATTTATCGGCTGATGATCGGCTTATATAAGCCCGAAACATGTACCATTGATGATCTTTGATCATTTCAATAAAAGTTGTGGAGATGACTTTGGGTTTTTCATCTATGAACTACACCACTCCACTTTGAGTTACCATGGACTTCTTCCAAAGATTATTTTATTGTTGTTGTGGAATGGTAAACTCCCGCGTTTTTCAATTGACATAAATTTCGTATAATCCGGTGTCTTTTCCGACTATGGCGACCCTGCTTTTGAGTAGGGTTACAAAAAAATCAACCCAAGTCAGTGATCGAGTTAGCAACACTCAAGTTTCCGAACAGAGGTAGGTGACTTGGTTTAGGTAACCGAACGTTCAGGTTATTGATCCAATCAACCCGAGTAAGTTTCCGAAAACGGCTCGTGTAAGGCTAGAATCGTAACCATATTCCTTTCCAATCAATTCTGTTCAGCCCAACGGCACGAGCAATGCACAACCCCTTTGAGTATAACCAATTTAACTTTCAAGTGCACACGTGGGGGTACACAAGACCCAACAAATGTTCTTTCACTAACAGCTTTTCTGTAGGTTTGACACTGTCTCCAAAATTCTGAGTACATTTCGAGGACAACGGGGACGGTTAGTAGGCAGACGGTAGTTGGGATGCATATAAACATAAAAAGGGTTTTTTCTAATTTTGACATGTAATTTGACAATGGTCCTCACCAGTTACATGTATTTTGGCCAATCATCACACATTAGAATAAATAAAATTGCTGTTGACTCACAATGTCAACAAAACATACAGAATAGTTTTCTGTAGTAGTCCATACTCAAAGTGGAGTGGAATGATCGAGAAAGAAAAACTCTTTCTTGATACAGAATAGTTTTGAGCAAAGACAAAAGTCAAAAGTGCATAGCACGAAAGACAAAAGTCGCTCGAAATTGTAGAACTCCGCAGATGCCAACATATAAAGGCTGTCAACAAAATATAACTCACGCGTTGAAAAATCCTTGAGTATGTAATACTTATAGATTAATCAGTGAAAGTGAACTGTAGTGGAAACAATTTGAGCTGTATAAAGATCATAACAGAATAGGCTGTCCTCATTTGAGGACATTGTGAGCGAAAGGTTTGATGTACTTGACACCTTTGTTTTTATATCGAAGACTGGAACTTTTGGCACGATAATACACTACACTGTTTTACCACTAACCAAACCGATTTTTTAACGCCTCGACACGTGTTTTCGCTAACTATGTTAGCATCTTGTTGACGTTTTTGTATATTTAGAGGAGTCTAGAGTATGGACACTCTGACAAGCACTGACAGCCAGACATAACCACAAATGAATATGAACAAAGCGTGAACTGACAATACATCAACGTACATGACATCAATTTCGAAGATTTGTCAGAAAGAAAAGAACACAAATGCGTGAATTCAATCTATGTGCATATATCTAAAATGAAGTAGTACATTTTTTGATAAAATATGTTCCAATACCCTACAATTTCATAGAATGTTCACACGTTGCTTTCGGCGGCAACGACAAGCTCGTCTATCCAGTACTGACATCATAATACCAAATCGATAACTATTCAGTGAGATATACAGTGTTGCCGTTTCAACCGATTCTTTAGCATGTTTGGGTATTTTCTGGGTTGTGACATATGACATAGATATTGGAGTGATGCCATGAGAATTTGAGGTTAGAGTGTATAAACCTCGAAATAAACGTATAATTGAGGAATAGACCGAATTTTGTCACTACTGATCAAACACCTGCAACATGCTACAACCGTACTCAATTAGTAATTAGTAATCAGCTATAACCTTGTAATATTGTCAATGGGGCAAAACCTTTATATTTGTTACATTTACATCAATGAATATAAAACCATCTCGAGAGATCACAGGACGCCTTCTTCCCGCTCCCATCTCTATTTCACTGGCACTCTGTACGAAGTCTCTGTCGCTTTGATTTGTTCGCTTGCTGCCTTGCTGAACCCCGTAAAGGAGCCAACAGACTGCGTTTTGTTGGAACAAAAATGACGCAAAACCGAAGTGTGTGGCCAGTGTGGCTAGCAAAAACGACCATTTTGCAGCAACACACATTGGTTTTGCTTCAGTTTCGTTCGTTTTGTTCCTCTAACAAAACAGCCTACCAACAACGCAGTGTATGGGCAAGCATTCATTCCATCGCCTAGCAACAACCGTGAAAAAAAGGTGTACTTTTCTTCACACTTCCGTAAAATAATGAAACAGTATTTATAAGATGTGTGGACTTCTGTCGATTGATCTTCGCAAGGCATTTGAAACTGTAAATCATGAAATTCTCCTCAATTTGTTATACCAACTTGGCATGAGAGGTATAGTTCATAAATGGTTTCAAAATTTGAGCATCACAAGGGTCAATCTTAGGCCTTGTTTTATTTTTGATATATATCAACTCAGTTGTTAACATCAAATTGAAAGAAAAAGTTTACATATTTGCTGATGACACTACTTTGATTTATTCCGCAGACTCAATATAACAAATCAGAAATGCAACTGAAAGTGACTTAATTGATGTATCTCCATGGTTGTTCTATAATAAATTGTTCCTCAAAGTATTTCAAAAAAGTTCACTTCCCGATAAAGATTTTTTTCTGCATTTTTTTAGGTTCCATAAATTTTTCGTACCAATATGCCAATTCATACTTTTTTCTTGAAATTTCCGGAAACAAATCCAACTTTCGCAGCTTCTTCCATCATCTCTGTCTCTGGCGGTGTATTTATCAAAATCGTCACATCTCGTTATATACATCAAATTATTCATTATGAATTGTTGGAATCATATTTGATGGAAAATGCAATTCTATCAAAATCACTAATGAGAACTACCCTGAAGAATTTAAAAAACTTCTGACAGTTATGACAACTTTTCAAAGCTGAACAGCAGCCAAGTTTTGGTCGATTTTTGTTGATTCTCCATGGAAATGTATATGTGGTTTTGAATTGACTCGGCCGTTACATGGAAATCCATGATAAATGTAAAAACTTCAAAAACGATAAGATTTCCACAAAATTTTGTGGAAATCTTATCATTTGTGAAGTTTTTACATTTTGTATATGTGGTGTTGGCAAAGTGCCGTGAGAAAAAATATTTCTCACAGTATGAGCAATACATGGTTTTGAAACTAAGTTAGCTATGAGAAATGCGCTACTTCTCATAGCAGTAGTAGAAAAATTGTTGTTGTTGTCTCCCGACGCGTAGCGGAGAGAGACAAAAAACCGTGAGCTAAAATCTTATATTTTTCCCGTGTATAATACACTATTTTTTGCTGTGACAGAAGAAAGGACGAATCAATATTGAGAAGATATTACATTATTCTGAAATCTGAAAATTATCGACGTGAAAATTTTAAGTTTTTAACAGTAGGGACACCTGCGTTGTAGGCATCTTTATCATTCTTTTGAAGTAATCAGATATCCGATGTCACTTCTGTCAGTCTAATTCTGTGATTTGATTTCAAAAACTTGCGAATTTAGTGGTTGTTTAGTAATATACGTAACTGCGAAGTCGAATGGAAGATAAAAGGACTCACAGTCCTTTCTCGGAGACGGTATTATTGACTCATTTTTCGGAACTATAGCACAACAACAGTGTTTATATGTATATGTGATATATATCCAGGAAAAAAGTACTCACTTCTTTCCCACGGGAAAAAGTAATTTATGAAAAGTGACATTTTATAACCTGCCAACAGTGATGAATTGCCAAACTTTTTTCCCGCCACAGATAAAAGATTATTATTATTTTGATATTAAAAATTCTACGCTTTGGGGACACAAAATCTATTAAAATAGTGCAGATTTTTCGACAGTTGTTCAATTCGCGTGTTGTGATCGAGAGCAGAAATTGACCTATTTCATGTTCGCAGGCAAGAGGAACGACAGGGGCGGCGGATTCGACAGGGGTGGCCGCGGCGGCAGAGGCGGCAGGGGTGGAGGCGGCTTCAGGGGCGGGGAGAGGTTCGGCGGCAACGACGACTTCGACAGAAGGGGGCCGCCGCGGGGCAACTTCAACGATCGCGACCGAGGCCCCAACAGGGGCAACTATGGCAACTTTACAGGTGAGGCAGTCAAAGCAGGTGCTTCATTTCTTCGGAGGCGTTGACTCTCTGACGAAGAAACTGTGAAGTCTGACAATTATATTGAATATTATTATCTTGTTCACATGTCAAAATCTTACATTTCGATCGTAAATAATAATAATAATGATAATAATCTTTATATCAAGGAACGTTATGCAATGAATAAAATTTAACACAAAACATTAAATGAGAAAACGTTAGAAAAAAGGTTCATTTGACAGGACGTGTACCTAATATTTACATTATACAAAATTATGTATAATAATATATAAAAATATCCGCCTGTATTATAGAAAAAATCCGATTTTGTCATTGACGTCATCCAGAAAGATGTGCATTGGCTGGACATGTCCTGTATCAATTTTACCGAAAGAAACAAAAAGGATTTTTCTAGAAATGGCTGTCATTTCTGAGGAACCTAAATGCATCAATAAATCAACTGATGTAGATCATTTGAGTGAAATCTATGCTTATATACCTGTTGTATTTAGATCATTGATAATTCTAGAACACGTGATATTGACATGGTTTCTTGAGGAGCACACAAACTATCTGTTAGGTTACCTTTGATGAGCATTGCGCTGGCCGTCCCTGCCACATCCACAATATAATAACAGTTTCACAAAACAAAATTATGAAATTCTTTCTGGTTCCAACTCGGATTCCAAGGAAAACGATCCCACTAATGGGCTTATATCGCAAAAAAATTCATTTCATATTTCGATAGAACTCACTCAAACTAGCTCACCACTGCAAACCGTTTCTTGCTGTGAGCTCCCTACGTTTTATAACAAATTATTGAAATCCCCGATTTTTCGGACCTCTGAAAACGAGGCGATGATGTGACGTAATACTGAAACAAGACTATTCCAGACAGAGATGAATGATACATGATTTCTGACAGAGTGAATTAGCGCGACATCACAGTTGAAAGAATTAATATACCAGTTACCTTAGTCTCCGTCGGGCGTTTGGTATTTTCTTTTAGCTATGGCGAGATGCGGTTTTTACGTCATAAGAGGGTCCGTTTTCAGAAGCTACTATTATTTATCAAAAAATAAAACATTTCAGTTGATTTTTCGATCGAATTATGTCGTCAATCATTATTAATGTATAAAAGGATCATTATAAACATGGTTTGAGTTCAAAGTTTTACTAAGGTGTACACGCCCATTCTGGTTTTATATGACAAATCTTGACAAGATACAATGTTTGCCCCTCAGCAACCTGTCAAATGACGTAATTCTGGAATGATTAATAATACAACAATAATTGATAACCAAAATTGATCCATAAACTCAAAATTTCCCACAACTTTACCCTGATAAATTACATAAATCTCAAATTTTCTCAAATACATGGGCGAATGTTTTTATTGATAAATACTGGTTTGATTGCATGGAAGTTTTATTGTTATGTTAAACAATCGAGAATGATCTTGCTAGATCTTGCTCCAGCGATTTTTTCTACTTCCCTTGAATCGTGATTTTTTGCGGAATGACAATAAAATTTGAATACAATTTGAAATGTATTCACCAATAAAAATATTTCTCGGAATGTATTTTAGGGAGATTAATACACAACTATACTATAAAGACAATTTGGTTTCAAGAAGAGACGCCGTTGTGTTAAGAAAACTCGAAAATTATCTGCCGGTGTTGATGGTGACAGTTGTTGTCAAAAGATGTGTGTGATTGAAAGAATGAAATCATGGCATATTTATCGATTATTGGGAAAGCTATGTAGCTTTTTTATCACTACAAATGCCTAGTGAATGGCCTGTTTTAGGAAATGGAGAAATCTTATTGGATCTTGGAATAGGCGTGTATCTTATGAAATTAATCACTTATTACAAATTGAGAAAATTAATTGATAAATGTCGAAATAATGTGAAGATATATCTCTTTAGCTCCTTCAGTATTCTTGCTTTGAATGAATGAAGCAAATTCCCATTGTGGCTATGACATCATTTTCAATTTTTCTATAAATATTCAGTCAAGGAGTGATGAATGAAAGAGAAGAAGATTTACTTAACCTATAACGTTAGAGTACTTGCGGTTTACATTATGCATGTTCACATTTTTTACAATTCAACTACAAATATTGATGAAATGAACCTCTGGTGTACGTACTTCAATCACTTCAATCCTTTCCTGTTTTACAATTCCTTGATTTTCGCCTACTTTGATAAACATAACATGGTGTGGGTGAATCTTGCTAAGATGAGTCTGGTGCCGTACCAAAATTACAGGCATCGATGTGACAATTGTGACCAAATTGTGACCAAATTGTGACCAATTGGCAAGGTGATGAATCCGATACGTCATATGGTGGGCACATTTTCACCAGTTTATCAGGGCATTCAAGGACATTTTTGTGATTGTCGGATCTGCAACTAAATCACATATCAGAAGTTCCATGAGAATTATAACTGATGTTGAATCTGAAACATACCTGAATAATATTTCCAAAAACCGTAACTGAATTGCTTCATATTCGCTCTCCTTCCGAATAGTGGTCTTCCCAGTAGACATCTGCTACATTTTGAATTCCGTGGGTAATAATAAGGACCATGAATGCCAAACACTGTCCTGCTCGGATCTAAAACTAAGCATCAATCTGAAATTTGAATCGTGAGACGTACATAGAATATAAATCTATAGTCTGAATATTGTTTTCAACATTCGTAACTGAAATGCGATATATTTTTACGATTATTCATCAATTCATCAACTCTCTCAATGCAGACGAGGTAGGCAGATAAACAACTTTTTTCTCTGCAATGAAAAACACTGTATATACCTAACCCACCATGCGCCGACCTCCTTTGCAGAGAGGGTTTATAAACGCCGAGTTGATACTCTCCCCTCGTAAGGGTACCTGTCGCGTTTCCATAGAGACATAAAGGTGAATATCTGTCTATCTGTTTGCTTGAGAATCCGGAAAGGAATTCAATATATCGCCTTCCATACGAATATAAGGATCAGAATTCTGAAAAGTATACTCTGGTCAGTTCTCTTTGCGGATTTTCTGTTCGGCCCGTCTTGACTGGATGGTTTTCTCCAATTTATTGACAAGTATCAAACACTCTGCTTTTCGTTTCTGCAAATAAACATCACATATCAGAAAGTCCATGAGAATTAAAACTGATGTTGAATCTGAAACATACCTGAATAATATCTCCATCAATCGTAACTACATTGCTTCATATCCGCTCTCCTTCCGAATAGTGGTCTTCCCAGTAGACATCTGCTACATTTTGAATTTCGTGGGTTATAATAAGGACCATGAATTCCAAACAGCGTGCTGCTCGGATCTAAAACTAAACATCAATTTGAAATTTGAATCGTGAGACGTACAGGGTGATTCACCATAATTGTCCCCCCCACTAGCTCACTCATTTTTTAACCGATTTAAAAATTTGAAAAATCCTCCAGAATGATTTTTTAGAAATTTTTTTCACGTTGCATCAGAAAATACAGGGTACTCGGAACAAACGATATTCAGAGTACTACTTGATTTTTTCAAATGGAACACCTTGTATTTCATTGTATTTTTAGATTCTCCCTGAAGAGCTGATTTCATCAATATATATCACACTTGGGGTCTAGCGGGAATGATTACAGAGATAAGTATTTTTTTGTGTCGGAACTATTCATTATTGGTCAGAACGGGTCCAAAGTCTCCTTCTCAACTTTTGATTTACTATCTACTGACATTTAATTGGAACATATACAGTGTGGTTCAAGATTCAGAATTCTGATCACCCTGTATCTGTTCCAATTATTAAATGTCAGTAGATAGTAAATCGAAAGTTAAGATACGGACATGGGAGCCGTTCTGACCGATAATGAATAGTTTCGTCACAGAAAAATCCTAAAGTTGAAAAATCTCGATTTTGAACACCTTATATCCCTGTAATCATTTTCGCTAGACCCCAACTGTGACACATTGATGAAATCAGCTCATTAGGGAGAATCTAAAAATACAATGAAAATAGGTTGTTCCTTTTAAAAAAATCAAATGGTACTCTGTAGATCGTTTGTTCCGAGCAAGAATTGACATTTTCATCACATGGAGAATGCGAATTCTCAATGTATATCTTTATATTTATATCCATTTTTTGTGTTCATAAATATATCTGAGAATGTTTGTTCCTTTTCGGTACCTGTCGTGTTTCCATAGAGACATAAAGGTGAAAATCTGTCTATCTGTTTGCTTGTGAATCTGGAAAGAAATTCAATATATCGCCTTCCGTACGAACATGACGATCAGAATTCTTAAGAGTATACTCTGGTCAGTTCTATTTGCGGATTTTCTATTCGGTCCGTCTGGATTGTTTTCTCCATTTGATTGACAAGTATCAAACACTTTGCTTTTCAGATCTGCAACTAAATATCATATATCAGAATGTCCATGAGAATCAAAACTGATGTTGAATCTGAAACATACCTGAATAATATTTCCAACAACCGTAACTGAATTGCTTCATATTCGGATTCGCTCTCCTTCCGAAAAGTGGTTTTCCCAGCAAACATCTTCCTTATTTTCAATTTTGTGGGTTATAATAAGGAACATGAATGCCAAACAATGTGCTGCTCGAATCTAAAACTAAGCATCAAGTTGAAATTCGAATCGTGACACGTACATAGAATATAAATCTACGAAGTCTGAATATTCGTAACTAAAACGCGATATATTTTTATGATTATTTATCAATTCATCAACTCTCTCAATACAGACGAGGTAGGCAGATAAACAACGATTTCCTCTGCAATGAGGAACACTGTATATACCTAACCCACCATGCGCCGACCTCCTTTGCAGAGAGGGTTTATAAATGCCGAGTTGATACTCTCCCCTCGTAAGGGTACCTGTCGTGTTTCCATAGAGACATAAAGGTGAATATCTGTCTATCTGTTCGCTTGAGAATCTGGAAAGGAACTCAGTATATCGCCTTCCGTACGAATTTAAGGATC